GGAGGAAGGGAGAGGATAAATTATTTTTTTTTCCTTTTCAATTAATCAGAAGAAAAATTAATAGAAGAAAATAGTTAGGAAACATAGGAGTGATGGAAAGTAGAATAGGAAATTCTCTTATCCCGTCGGAAGGATAATCATCTCATTAAATTATCTAATGACGTGTCTTAATGTACTCTAAGGGCATGACGCCACTTTTTGATTTTAAATGTGGATGGGAAGTTGGGGATAAAATGGCCGATACTGAACTGGAAGAATTCCTCTTTGGATCAATAGGTAAGGCTGTTAAAGGCCGGTATTCTTTGTGATCGGTTTAAATAGGGCATTTTCTTTTATGGTTTCATATTCCGGATTGGGTTCATCGCGCTGTAGGAGTAACGAGGGGTGCCCGTAGCTGGATTGTAGAACATGAAAGACGTAAGAACTCAACGGACCGCTGGCCTTTTCTCTGTCTGATTCTAGGGGGTCCCCGTTGGGCTCTTAATAATCGAATACTTTATTCGTATAAAGTGACAAAATAGATTGCCTTTTTTTTGGATATTTAATATTTTATTTCCAAAGAAAAATTCGATTATACTATCACTGTGGTGTTTTTTGGAAAATAGGTAAGCTCCATTTATTTATTTAGAACATTTGCTTCTCGATAGTATCTATCGGAATACTTTCAAAGTTTATAAGAGTGAATTCTGACGATTTCCTTTTGCCTATATGGCATAATAGTACTACTCATTTCTATATGTAGGGTCGTCCATTTTTTCTAATTTTTGTATACTAATAGAACCTTACCTATTGATTTTAGTATACAGTATCTCAGTAAAGGTGAATTTTTTATAGAAGGTTATCATCTGCACACGCAAAGTTCTATTCTGGCTTAAAAAATTTCCGCTTTCTTTTTTTGTTTGTCCACTTGCTTTTACTTTTTTTTGTTATAACCGAACCTCACGAAATCTAATTTATACGTATAAAAAGTAAAAGGAAGTTACATGATAACACACCTAGAAAAGAATAGTAAACGTGAAAGAATAGTGATCTTGAGGATCTGGTGGTGATGCAAGAATGATTATTATTATTGTTGTTTGACGCACAAGAAAGGGATGTGGGAAATTCGCTTTTCTTTGTGTCGAAAGACTAGGAAGACGAATAAATAATACCTATAGTTTTCGTTCTCATTTAATTTAGCCCTTTCTGTGCTTTCTTCCGGCTTACTTATTTATGCTTAGTATCTAGTCAAATTGGATTCCTATTTTAAAATAGAAATAGCTATTGATCCACTCTACTGACCGAGTTAATCTGACAAATAGTAAGATAATCAAACTGCTGATTGCCCAATTATAGTTATTTAGATTAAAAAAAACACAAAAAAAAGGGGAGTAAAAGTCAAATAGGTCCTTCTTACCAAATATCACATATTATGGGCCCAGAGTTTATGCGGTAGAAGAATTCCAAATATCTGGTAATAAAAAAAATATGAGAAAAAAGCAAAGAGCTTTTCACATTTTTTTATGCATACATAGATATAAATTAACCAACAAATTGGGTTCTTTTTTCTTTTTTAAAACTTGATGTTGATAAATTTACAGATCTAAAAATTCATTTCGGACAATTTGAACCTTCTCAAACTGTTTCTTTTTAAGAACCAAAAAGATTTGTGCCAAATAACGGATGCCAAGAAGAAAAAAAGGCCCTTGGACACGTAATGGGTTTCTTGAAGGCACTATTTTCTGATCTCCCTGAACCAAATCCATCCCACATTAGGATATTACTCGTTAATGGTTGATTCCAGTTTTGATGGAATTGCGCCTTCTGAACAAGGAAGTTCTTGAGCCTAGAGGTAGGTGGATATCGAATCATCGTTGGAGGTCCATCTTGACGCATCAGCCCGTTATGGTTAGTTGTCGTTACCCCCCTTTTTCTTTTCCGTAATGATTTTGCTTACTATACTGCTGCTTAGCAATTATAAAACGTAATTTGTTTACTCTGCTCCCGTGGGG